CGAACCGGCCGTGGAAGGACACGTGCTTCGTGCTCAAATTAAAACGGGGATTTTGATTTTAATAGCTTCTGTCACCCACTTCAATGTAGCGTTTTCTCCCCGCCACAACTCCAGCCTTCCCACTAAGTGAACACGAGCTGTTGAGGCTCGATACAGGATTCTGGCCTTGCCACTTCTTATCTTTCGGCGAGGTGAAATTTAGGCAGTAAAGGATCTGCCAGAGTTTATTGGTTTCTCGCCTGCACCAAGCACTACTTTGAATTGCATCAACACGAGTCGTAAGTGGCGAAGACCATCAGTAAATGCTGAATCGAAATGCCCCTGGAAGAGCGAGTACATGAACGCCGTGTCCACGTTTCCTACTCCAGTTTTTTCCTTAGATATTGCCCGTTTAGAGGGATGTGACTGGAGGGATTTCTGGCAAGGCGCGCACCCATGCAGGATCCACTTGACGTCAAAGACTCCCCCGTTGCCCTGTCCCATGGACCCTGCGGGCAGGGTACTCCAGCATCTGTCCTCGGTGAACCCCCGAGGTCGACAACCCGATCCTTGAGGTGGCGCCGGGGCTCGGTTCGTAGGTCTCCACGGCAATTATGTGCTGCACTTCTTTCTGTGGTGGCAGTCGCGGCCATCACCCTATACTACTTCCGCGTCTGCTACGAGCGGGCCAGACATGGCCACATGCAGCGACGACTCGCAGGTAGAAGGGTTCCACCAGATGACGACCCCGTGCTTTCGGCCATTATTGACATGTGTCTGGACATGGAGGAAGAGAATAGTAACACTTCGCTCTCCCCACAACCTCATCCGCAGGTGGGACCAGCTGGCCATCTGGAGGCGCAGCCTTCACCCAACCATGCGCCAGGCCCAGTGGAAACCTCAGTAAATCAATATATGTGGATTCAGGAAGCACCTGCACCCTATTCCTCTCCACCAGTCCCATCGTTTCACCCAGAACCTCATACACACGGCTATGCTGACTCACCGATAGACGCATATGACGCATATGGTGGTTTGGGGTTCCCTAGCCCTCACGCTGAGGGGCCGTCAACATCCACTGGGCAGTTTTCCATGCAACAATTGAGTAGTGATGATTCCCCACCTACTGCANGGGGCCGTCAACATCCACTGGGCAGTTTTCCATGCAACAATTGAGTAGTGATGATTCCCCACCTACTGCATCTGATGGCGGCATATCCCCTATATTTACTGCGGTCAACAGCGCATCTTCGTCCCCTCAGTACGGTTTTTCACCAGGCTTTTCTGCAGGGCCCTTGTCACATTCACCCCACGGCATAGGGTCCTATATCGAGAGCTTGGAGGTAGCAGTGCCTGAAAGTTCATCGATGCATCTACAACAACCTCTGTTCCCACGCAACTCGCCTGAATCAAGCCTGCTGCGTTCGCCCAGTCAGGCAGTTGGAGCACAGAAAAGGCACTTCGAGCAAGTGGAGACCACAGGTGTACCGACTCCAGACCGCTTTCGTAAGAGGCAGAAGGTGGATGTTGCATCAATACAGGAAGCAAATAAGTTCACCAGTGGGATGAGTGGGCCGGCGGCATCGCCGATGGTGCTTCCTGAGTCTAGATTTCTGTCGGGTCAACAGTCTGGAGCGGGCTATGCAGTGGCAGCTCGGAAAGCGATTCAAAGAGGGCAGCTGCAATGGTTTCCATCTGCAACCAACCCGGGTCCAAGCGCTGTGGTGACTTGGCCATCCGTTGTATCCTCGTGGACACAGGGAACTCGGGATGTGGGCGTTTCAGCTTCGGATCCTGGACACCAGTCCTCACCCGACACTCCACAAAATATCCAATGTTCATATTCGGCTTGTGCGGGTCAGACTACGGCTGATCCCTCTGGAGGGTTCCCTGGATACTCCCTTTCACAACCAGAAGAGCCACCGGAAGCTTTTGTTGTCAGTCATCCTTTCTACAGGCTCCCAACCCTGGAGCCAGGCGTGAGTCTGGTAACTTTTTCTAGGGAGAATGCATTTAAGCTAAACAAAAGTCTGCGAGTATGTGATATGCTTTTGCATTACATGCATTCAGCGTTGGCAAAGGAAACACTCGATGAATCGCAAGCAAACGGGCTCATCCGTATCGTTGAAGGGATGATAAGCCATATTTTCCATTTCCAGAGGACAAGTGTTGAACGGCTAGCACCGTCTGATGCTGTGGGGGCCTTGGGGCGCCGTTATTTGATGCTTGATGCACTATTCTGCGCTACACAGGTTTTGCAGCCCGCGATACGTGCTACTGGTTGGTGGACAGATCTCGTTAAGGTGGTTCCATCTCGCGTGGTTTTGTTCCCAAGCGTATACCCATGTGTGCGTTCCAGA